ATACTTGCTGCCTCTCTGCTACTGGGCAGCAAATATCCCACACAAACTTTCAACAACCTTCAGTCGAGTTTTTGACAGGGCTTCTCATCTTGTTTTCCCAAGAGACTTTAAGGACACACTGAGCCCTGCAGCTAAGGAGTGTGCCAATAACTGCAATATTTGGCTGAACAATTCCTGCCACTACCACCCACTAAAGGAAAAAGCTGCCATGGATTAGCAAAAAGCACCTGGACACGCTCATGGGAGAAAAGTCCAACACAAACCAGGTCCCTCCTCCCCCCGCACCCAGGACCGTGTTCTCACCCAAGAAAGCCTCTCACTCTACCCTCAGCCCAGAGTGAGCTACCTCCAGGCACACCTTGTCTTTATCACCAGGTTTAATTAGCACCCCAGTTTCTGCCATTGCAATTAACCTACTTTAAATAAAGGGAAACAGATGCCTTGCAGAGGATCTAATACATCCCAGAGCGGACAGAAACCAGCCAAAGCTTGAGAAAGGAATCAGAGCTGAGATGCAGCTGCTGGTGTTTTAGCACCAGGAGGGAGGATGAGCAATGAGCTTTGCCTGCCCACAGAGGGTTTATCCAGCTGCCCCCAGCTACAGCAGGGTGGTTGGCTGCAGGGGGGTTTAGTTGCTGTTCTTTGTCTTTCCTACGTCTTATGAACACGTTAAAACAAAGGTGCCTGTGGTGTATGTCCTGAAAACTTCAGCTGGAGATTTACCTGGTGAAAGGCCTGTGGGGCAGGAAAGGTCCCTGCACAGTAAAAATCACCTTGGTTGCTCCATGGGGGGAGAAAAGGCTTGTTTTATGTCCTAAACAAAGTTGGGAAATGGGATGGGTTTGGCTCAGTACCTGAGCAGACAGTTTTTTAAAAGGCAACAAAGACAGACCTTGAAAAAACTGAGTTGGGCCTTCAAAAAATTACTTGATTTTAAATTTTTTTTATGAAGTAAAGACCTCAAAGAACTTAATTTTGAGTTAATTTTAGTTGGTTCCAAACCAAAATGTTTTGCATTGCTCTAGCTTTTTCTAGTCCTCCTCTTTTTTTTAACTTTCTGTAATTTTTGCTTTTAGAAGAGTATTTTGGCAGTTACAAAGAACCTATGATTTTGAAAGCATCTGTCATCAAGTGCAGGAACAGTCCAGTGTGGTTACAGTGTTTTCTCATTATACAACCAGAAACGTGTGCCCAGTCCATCCTCTCCTTGCAGCACCTCCCATCCTTTCATTCTGAGCTGGTGTTCACAGAGGCTTGTGCCAGACAAGGACCCCTCTCCTCACCCTTGTCCCTCCCTGGGCAGGACCACAGAATCCCCAGAGCCCCTGGCCCTTCCCAGGGGTAAAAGGAGCTTTGGGGGGGTAAAATGTTCAAATCAAAGGACCACCAGCATTATAATAACTCCTTGACAAAACAGCTGTGAAAAAGTACACCACTGTTGTCTTGTAAGTGTTGGAAATCACAAGCTAGCCCCAAAAGACCAACATTCTGAATATTTTTTTGATGCTAAAGAAGCATGTAAGCTTAATATTAACTGTTACTCACTTAGATCCACAAGTTCTGCAACAAATTTCAGTGAGTGAATACAAGTGCTCTGCTCTATAAAGTGAGCTGGGCGATGATGTCAATGGTTCCTGCAAGCTCCAGGAAACAGTAATGGGGAAGAAAACCAGACTTAGCAGGTATCTTGGAAGCAGAACGGGCTGTGAGATTTGAAAGGGCGTTGAAATGGAAGGAAAGGGTTAAAGACGAGGTGAAGAAGTGAAGGTTGTGACCACAGCTAGAGGAAGAAACAGCCCATCCATCCAGCAGAGGGGTGAGTTTCAGCCAGCCCTAATGTCACCACCACGCCTATCCCGTTGAGTTTTGGGTTATTTATTCCAGCCTGCCCCTCCTGTCTCATTAAAATTCATTTCACAGAATATCTGATCAGCCTTCTTCTTGCTGAGGAAAGAATATTCCAGACTCTCAGCCCCCATCAGTGGTTCATTTTTCCCAATTAGTAATAGGCATGCATTTCATTTCAGAGTTTCTCTTATTTTTAATACATTTCCATAACTTGTTCTTGATGCCTTTAATGTTTTGCTGTATTTTGCTGTGCAACCCTTCTCTCCTCCTTCCCATCCATTTGTGCTCCTCCTTCCCAAGCCCTGTTTTTGCAGTTTGCATGAGTCCTGTTTGTTTTCTGGTCTCTCCCGAGGCAATCGAAGGTCTCTTCCTGGGCTCCTTGTCCTCATTTCACACCAGCCTGTCACTGAGCCTTTCTGGGTGAGCTCTGGCCCTCCCTTCATGCTCTCTTCCCACAGCCTGTCTGTCTGTGTGGGAAAGGACCTGTCCCTGCACTGACAGCTGCTTGGTCCCAGCACTGACACGGCCCCCGTTTCCCATGTGAGCCCCAGGGACTGAAGGAGAGCAAAGCTGGCCTGAGTCTCCCTTTCATCATTTTCCTCTTTTCCCAGCAATGGACTTTCAGTGTCACTAAGCAAAGTGTGTGTGTGTTTACTAGTAGCACAAATTAACAGACAAAATGAGTTAATTAGAACTAAAGACTAAACTAATTGCTTCCTGTTTAAAATGCTTTCTAGTAAATGCAGAACATACAATTTTTCTCTTCTTGATTCTCTTTTCCTACCATGTGTTTCCCATCAGTGTTTTGGGAGTGCTGGAAGTTGTTCTCTTCCCAAAACCTAAATAATCTCCATAGAAAATTTTCCACATTTCAGGAAACTTAACAAGTTTCTCTCTTCCACCTTCCTGACCTCCTGAACATGGCTGCTGGGGGCTGAGCTCTGCAGAACTGGGGTTTTTATCTGATCCCAGCACAGGAGGGACAGGCAGGACCCTCACATTGATTTCCTGTCCCAAAACCTTTGACAGAGACACTGCCAGGTCTTTGAAAGCAGACAGACACCAGAAAATGGATCTGTTCCTTATTTCCAGATTCTTACCAATGGCAGTGAAGCTCCCAAAGCCAGAAACAGCAGATCAGTTAATAAAAGGGATTAAACAAAATGAACAACTATGTAAGTTATTATTAAAGCTGAGAATCTGGTGCAATGAAGGAAAGAGCAGTATCTGCAGATCTAACAGTTCAGAGAATAGTCTAGAAAAGGTACAGCTGCCTGCCTGCCAAAACCTTCCCTTTTGGCCTCAAGCAAAGCAGGAATCTCTCCCAGAGGCACAGTGCTGCAGCAGGGCCAAGCACTTTGCCTTGGTCACTTTTTCCAGTTGGATGTGAGACTGGACGGACCACTGATCCAGGACAGGATGGGAATGCTGTGTGCTGGCAGGAGCCTGGGCCAGAACAGCATAAGTGCTTGAGGCTTCAAATACACATACTTGTTCTTACAACCTGTCTGCAGAGAGAGTGGGACGAGGGCTGTGAGGCCAGCACACCTTCTCATAGTGTTCAGGCATGTGGAATGGAATATTTCAGCTGGAAGGGACCGACAATGATCATCAGGTTCAACTGCCTGACCACTTCAGGGCTGAGCAGCAGCAGCTCCAGCCAAAGGGCCAGCAGAAGGACAGAGCTTTTGCATTTCACAGACAACAGGAATGTTGCAAATGGCAATAAACAAACACACACAGGTTGCTTGTTTGTTCTAGGATGCACCTGTGTGGGACACAGTACTCCAGTGCAGCACACGTGCTGCAGGTGTCTCCACCTTGTCTTTAACAGACTTATGCCAAGAGCAAGCCCCTCAGTATGGCTGATCTCAGACAGCTACGGAGAGCACAGAAAACCTCGGCGTGTCTGCAGCCCCCCAGGAAGCCCCTCGGGCTGCCCTTGAGCTGCCCCCGGGGCTAAAGCAGCAGGGACAGCGCTGGGTCCTGCAGCCTCTGAACCACCCAGGGGTTTACATGGAGTTTCCTACTGCAGATAAGGGTCAGCAAAGCAGTTATTTCACGTGAACTTTCTAGTTCCATTTCGATAAGAGTCAAGATGGCAAAGTTCCTTCATCTCTTCTGGTTCTGGTGTATTTCTTCTTTCT